GTTGTAGGTTGTAATTGTAAACGCCTTAAGATTTCTTAAACATTGAATATTTTAGAAATCTTAAGAGTTTTAGGTCTTTGTTATGGTGATTTTTCTGTACCTCTGATATTTGTATCAAGTACATTTTGTTCTCTATTATGTTGAACATGTTGTTTAGCAGTTTAATCAAAGTCTCTCGCCAAGATGGTTGAGCCATGTTAGTCTCCTGCTATGTGCTAGAGCAATAAAAGTCTTAATCAAGTAGATTGATTGAGCAAATCCAAATCTCTCGCCAAGATGTTTGATCCATTTAAATCTCTTGCTATCTGCTACAGCATTAAAAGTCTTAATCAAGTAGATTATTGAGTAGAAGTCTTGGATTCGTGGAACTTGAGTAAGGAAGTCTCGGATCGAGGGTCTGAGCAGAAGTCTTGATGTTTTGAAAAGATCAATTTTATTTTATTTTCAAATGTCTTTTTTGATTAATAATTTTGTGCAAAATCACATTACTCCGAATTTTTTTCATATTTTTTTCCATATTTAAATTTCTTTTATTTTCTAATCAATTTTATCTCTTAAATTTTTGAGAATTGGACATGTATAGAAAAAATAACATCAAAAATAAATTTGCAAATAAAATTGTGAATCAAATTAATAATTGCAAATGAAAAAGATGAAGTGCATTTTATTTTAATTTTCTTTTATTTTTTTCTCACCACCACCCAAATTTCGAAAATTCACTAATATTATAGCCAACAAACACTAAACTAAATCACCTCACGCATATTATAACATTTATAACCCATTAATAAATTAGGATTAAACAAAATTTGTAACAAAATAAATTTAAAATCTCAAATTATCCAAGAATAAGAACAACACATAAAACTTAATAAAAATTAAATAGAAAGATTATCACTTGGTGACAAATTCTTAATATTACATGATATATATATTTGAGTGCTTCCATAAGATTTAAATATATAAGTGAATGATAGATATGACTTCAACAAAGTAGCAAATAAAATGAGAAACACAAACAATAAAATAAAAGATAAAAAAGAAATTGAAGATTCAAGTTTGATTAAAAAAATAACTCTATAATACTTTTCTCTAAACTCACACAAAATGTCTTAAAAAGTTAATAAAGTCAATAAAGTTAATAATTTATTCCTTCAATTGTGATTTTAACTTTTTAATCTTTTCTCTAATTAATATGGTTCTTCCACTCTTAACTCTCGAAAATATTTAGCTTTTATGTAGGATAGATCTTCATTAAAGAGCTTTTCAAGAGTTTGTTTATTCTTATCTAAAGAACTATTAGTCGTGATCGAAATGACACCTGAATGTCGAAGTCATACTAGATTAAAAATATCTTGAATAATTTTGTTTATTTATAGTAGATCAATAAGATACCATCTTACTAGAGATTCATTAATCTAGTTTTTTAATAGAATGATCGAATGTCTGAATTTTAAAAATTATACTTATTTTATTTTTGTTATCTTTTTGGGAGACATAGGTTGAAAATCGTGTACAAGCAAAAATATTTTCTTGAGCTAAACAATTTGTTATTGCATTAAGGACCGGCCAAATTTATTATTTCCTTTCCAATGTCTCCTATAAGATAATTAACGTGATTTGAAATCAAAGTACTAGTTTGAAGAATAACTTTTTCATCCCAGCTACGTTAACACTTTTTTTTTAATCTATTTATCAAAGTTTACCAAAATAACATGACATAACGTAGATAAGTACATTTTTCCATAAGCCATGTGTTTTTCCAACTAGCTTGTGTAGAGTTTAATTTTCCACTATCTCTTAATAATGTTTCAATTGACTCACTCTACAACTTGAAACATAACTTCATTTATTTTATCAATTCAAATAATTAATTATTCAACTTCTACTTATGCTATTACCCTTATAAATAGAAGCAAAATGTGAGGTATGTTACATAGTCTTTCAAGGTGTGAAATACTTGTCATTGTCATGTGGTTCAAAAGCACAACGGTTAGTATCTCTGTAATACCGACACTAAAATGAAATCGACATATATGATTAAATTAAGTTAATTTATTTTTCATGTTTTTTTTTATTAAGGTGTCTGCGTCACTGTCGGTATTATGTCTGAAGTTTCTTTTTGTGCAGAGATGTTTTCTCACGTTGTTAGTGATTTTGAGTACGGTTAAACCTGGATTGAGTAGGACGACGACGTTCAATGTGTTGAGTTATGGTGCAGTTGGAGATGGAAAAATGAATGATTCTCCTGTAAATTAATTTTAATCTATTTAGCTTCATTTGTAACATTAATCAAAATAATAATTTAAAACTATTTCTTATGAAAATGAATGTATATTGAACAGGCTTTTCTAAAAGCATGGAAGGATGTGTGTAGCAGCAAATCAGATATATCTCATTTGATCATACCAGCAGGCAAGACATTTTTATTGAGGCCAATAGCATTCAATGGTCCATGCAATTCTAATAATATTTACATTCAGGTACTTTTTTATTTTAGTATTTTTGCAATATAGTCCCTCAAAGACTATTAACCATGATATTTATCATGTCAACAATTAATTAAGAGATTCAAATATCTTAATTATTTGACTCTTAATATTTGAACCATGATAGTGTATGAAAAAAATATACATTAAAAAGGTCAAATTCTTGAATAGATTTGAGTTAATTAAAAGTAAATTAATTTCTCTAGTAGTAAGTGAAAAGTGACCAATTAAGTGCTTTTTGTGAATTCAGCTTTCAGGGAACATAGTTGCACCAGCAACAAAATCAGAATATTCAGGATCTCATTTAAACACATGGATTGGTTTCTCATTTGTGAATGGCTTAATTATAAGTGGAAAAGGCACTATTGATGGGAGAGGCTCTATGTGGTGGAAACAACCTTGCTTAGGAAATCCATCACCTGTAAGTCAAAAATAAGTGCTTTTTTGCCTTAAACATTTCAATAATACACTCTTCTATAGTTCTCTTACACTTTTTCTCTATTTTCAGGGAACATCTTGCCGTCCACCAACAGTAAATACTATTTCTTCGAAACACTGTCACAAAAGATATCTGATGTCTGTGTGTCACAGATATCAATGTTTTTTGATATATTTATTTTTGTTTTTGTGAATAAATGTGCAGGCGGTAACATTGAATAGATGTAATGGATTTAAACTAAAAGATTATAAAAGTATTAATCCAGCAAGAAGCCATATAACATTAACAAATTGTATAAAGGGAATTATCACTAATCTCAAATTAATTGCTCCTGGAGAAAGTCCTAATACTGATGGCATTGATATTTCTAGTTCAAAAGAAATTCAAGTACGTGACTCTATTATTGCAACAGGTAAATAATTACTAACTAATTTCAACCTAATTAGATAATAAACCAAAAAAAAACATTGAATATTGTGTGTAATTGTAATTTAGGTGATGATTGTATTGCTATTAGTGCTGGATCATCATTAATCAACATAAGTGGTATAACATGTGGACCAGGACATGGTATCAGGTTAGAGTTTTGATTTTTTTTTTAATTAAAATGTACTAGCTACTTTATATTATATTAATCAAGATTTTTTTGTTGTTGATAGTATTGGATCTTTGGGGGCACGTGGAGAGAGTGATATTGTAGAGGATGTGCATGTGAAAAATTGTACAATTACAGAGACATTACATGGAGTAAGGATCAAGACAAAGCAGGTAATTCTTTCATACTATAATTTTTAAATGCAACATCGAAAACTCACAGTGAGGTTTTGAGTTCAGACCCAGATGAAGATGTCCAATCTAATAATATTAGCATTTGTCAATTGAGTTCGGTGAAACTTATCTGACCAATTTTAAATACAATATCAAAAATTTACACACATCAATAAGGTTTTGAGTTCGAACTCAGATGAAGTCGTCGGTAATATCAATAGCATTTGTCATATGAACTAATTTTATATGCAGCACCTGAAACTCATTCAAGACTAGAAGATTCTGTATTTGAACTTAGACGAAAATGTTCAAACTAGTTGAGCTAGGCCGACCCGAACCGCTGTAGAGACTAATTCATACTTTTTTATTATGTTTTTTTTTCTCATATAACTTTGGTCACATATTATCATTTTTAAATTCATCAGGGTGGAGGAGGATTTGCCAGGAGGATCACCTTTGAAAAAATCAAATTTGTTAGAGCCAATAATCCAATCATCATTGAACAATTTTATTGTATTAAGCCAATGATTTGCCCAAACAAGGTAAAACAACAAAATGCACTAGCTATTTCTTTTTATGAATAAACTATATTTATATCATACAATTTATAACAATTTTTTTTATTGAATATTATGTGTCCTAGACTCAAGCAATCAAAGTGAGTGATGTAACTTTCAAATGGATTCTTGGAACATCATTAACAGACAAAGCAATAAATTTGAACTGTGACCAAAATGTTGGATGCTCCAACATTGTGTTTGATCATGTTTATGTACAATCTGCTGTTCCTGGGATGAAGGTTTTCTCTTTCTGCCATAATGCTCATGGAACTGCCACTCATACCAAACCTAAACCATTTTGCTTGCTTAAGTAGCTACCAATTTCCTTTGAATTGTTGACAAGATTTCAAATTGTTTTTATTTCTTGTGTAATTGCGATTATTGGATAATCATCTGCGTTAATTTAGTGTATTTTGAATAATTACTATTTAGAACGATTTGATGTATCTCTTTTAGATTAATCTGTGGTTATATTTACACGCAGATATACTGATTTTATAAATAAATAAAAATATATATTTAGCGAAAGTGTATTATTGTAATGAATAATACTATATACTATATATAACATAATGTAATATATTAACGTAAGAAAATGAGTTACCTAATTTAACTGTGAGGCTAAGATTCATTCGTTTTCATTCCTAAGCATTTGCATATTTGCCAACACAACATTCTATTTCTGTTGTCTTTCTATTGTCTTTGTCTGTGCATGTTCGTTTGTTACAATCATCAGAACCTCTCATGGGGAAAAGGCCGCCGTACTCCACGGATATAGAGGCGGCTCATTATCCCCCGCCACCACCACCTCCTTACCATTTTCCACAACCAACACAATGGTTCTCATGGTTGGTGCCACTCATTTTTTTAGCCAACATTGCAATGTTTGTGTATAGCTTGTATATCAATGATTGTCCTGCATATTTGAATGAAAATGATTGTCTTTACCATCAGTATTTGGGAAGATTCTCTTTTCAACCTTTCACCGAAAACCCTCTCCTCGGCCCTTCCGTTCGCACGTAAGAATCTCTTCTCTCTCGCATAATCATCGTCATTTAAAAGATCATATAGATATAATCCCCATGATTATGTTAAATGCATATTCTAAATACTTCTATGCATGGTTTGAAAAAACTGCGGTCAGCAACAACAATTGCAGTCGCAATATAACAAATTTTGACCTATCTGCACCGGTTCCATAACGGCAATTTTGGCTTCCATGCATGGAAAATAAAGAAAAGAAAGAAAAGAATGTTAAATTTGAATCTTCTTTTGTTAATTGGTCATTGTGGTGTTATTGTATAAACTTTGTGCAGGCTGAGGGTATTAGGAGCTCTTGAAAAGGACCTGGTGGTGGGTGAAAATGAAGCATGGCGTTTCTTTACTTGCATGTTTCTTCATGCAGGAGTTGTACATTTACTGGCCAATATGTTTAGTCTTTTATTCATCGGAGTTCGCCTTGAGAACGAATTCGGATTTTGTAAGCACGTCTCAATTTGAAACTCACTGTTATTTTCTTTGTTTAGTTGATTTGTTTATGTATGATCTCTTGGATTCTGCAGTGAAAATTGGACTACTGTATATGTTTTCTGGTTTTGGTGGAAGTTTGTTATCAATTTTGCATTTGGGAGATGCAGCAGTACCAAATACAATATCGGTTGGCGCTTCCGGTGCACTTTTTGGACTTCTCGGAGCCATGCTTTCTGAGCTTCTAACCAATTGGACTATCTATTCAAACAAGGTACTTTCTAACAATATAACTCGCTCTATTGAAACGAAAGACAAAAACGAGTGTATGAGTGTCTGCCTCAGGTCAGTTGGTCAAACTACGTGATCAAATATCGTCTGTTCTCTAGTTTTGTTTTTCATATCTTTTTCGGACCGATTTGAAACCATGTTTGCTTCTGCAGTGCGCAGCTCTTACAAGTCTTCTGCTCATTATTGGCTTAAATTTGGCTGTTGGATTTCTACCTCATGTGGACAATTCAGCTCATATAGGAGGATTTCTTTCAGGATTTTTGCTTGGTTTCATTCTTTTAATGCGCCCTCAATATGGTTACGTGAACCGCAAATATATACCTCCGGGATATCACGTAAAACGTAAATCCAAATATAAATGTTATCAGTACTTCTTTCTGATCTTGGCACTCATTATATTACTTGCCGGGTAAGTAATTCATAATTTTCTTTACAAGTTCAATTCTGATACATAGAAATAGTTATGATTGAAGTCGAATGTTTTTTAATAATTTACCGATTTTGATTGATTCACAGGTATGCATACGGATTAGCTTTATTGTACCTAGGAGAACCAGAAAGAATGTTTTACTTGTCACAGACTAATCCAATTTGAATGATTCTGATTCCACAGCTTGTTCTTCAAGTTTTCATGTACATAGCAGTACATTTGTTATAAAAGACTCTTCGGTTTCTTTTGATCAAAACATGTGCATGATCGCGGATACTTGTCTGAATTCTGATTTGTAGACTATCTAAAAGAAACCGAATCAAAATTCTATACATGCATCTATTTGACAGTTTATATGATGAATAGATGAAATTCGTAGCCGATTGGTCCATGTAAAATGTTATGCTCTCTGTATAGAATCAGCTATATGTAGATGCCATCAACAATTCATTTAATTATTATTTATAATGTTAGTAACGGATCGACCCGACTAACCATCTCAACTTATAGTTTTTGTATATACATTATTTGTGAAACAATTATAACAAGTTAAAGCTTGTTTGCTATACTTTACGGTACATATACATATAACAAAATAATGTTATTACTAGTATTCCTTCGAAGATGATGCTAAATTTCACATGATTCAGAGCGACCGAAAACGGTGTAACGGTTATTTGCAACATTGTCATAAACAAAATCTCTGACAAACCTGCGGTCGTTCGTAGCATATATCATCAACCTTGTTTGTCGTTAGCGATAAAAATGGTAAAGAAATGATAAAATATACTTACAAAGGCATGAAGTGAAGAAGAAACGCTAGTTGAGGAAAGGGTAAGTCTATGTACTCCATTATCTTCAGCACAGCTTCTGACTTTATGTATGATCTATACAATAAATAAACCACCTTATCAGCCATCAACTAACTTACCAGATATCCTCTATAAGTTCATCGGCGATAAACTATCTTATCAGCTATCAGCTATTTTTTATTTGAACGAGTCTAAATGTTATCTTTTATAATACAAATTGAATTATGATTTTGAAGCACTCCGAACTGAACCCGAACCAGATTAGTCTTTAGAAAAAAAAGAAGATACCTATTATTTTCAACGAGAACAACACTTGAGATATCATGAGGGGCTCTTCCTGATCTCCTAAGTAACATCTTACCAGCCTCACTCTGAAGAGCTTCATATCTGATTGTCCTGTCAAAACCAATTAACTAACTAATCAACTATCTATAATCTAAAATCTAAATGGGAATAATAATAATTTACTTATTTCGATCATTATCACGAACAAACTTTACTCCTCCATTACACAAATTGCATACACCTGTGTCACAAAATCAAAATTAATTAATAAAAGTTGCATCCAAGAGGCATTTGTTCCATGGAAAATTGGAACAAGAATTTTGATAATTTACCGTCAAATAACATGATGGGTCTTTTGTCTTGCTCGAAGAAACTTGAAGTTGCTTCTACCCAGTTAACGCCGTCGCTTTGGGGTTGCGACAGAGTAGCCAAGGTTTTGACTCTTCGTGCACGCAGCGGCCGTGTGGTTGATTTCACGCGCCCAACAGCAAAACCAGGAAGATGTAGCTGAAGCTGAAGAGACATTGAAACAAAAAAACTTGTCTGCGAGCAACTCTGATAAATTATGCAAGTATTTTTATGTATTAACATAAAAATATATATATATTTTTTATATATATAATTCAATTTTCTTGGTGGCGCAGGAGCCACCAGCAACCTTGGTTTTACTTTATAGCCTCTTTTCTTTTAGGATTTTGGCTAATCTTTATTTCTTTTAAGGCAATGTTATTTTACACTTGTCAATATATAATAAACTCAATAATATTTCTTTTCTCTTTTTTTTTCTACTACTTACATTAATTGGCATTGTTTTTTAAACTGGTTTTTGACCAAAGAGTAAGGGTTTCTAATAGATGTTTAAATAATTCATCACAATTATCTAGGTTGTAATTTTACATGATTTAAATTTTATTTGACTATTATAAAATCTATTAACTAATCCAACGATTATTTATTATTAAAAGTATTTTATTTTGTCCAGTATGATATTCTAAAAAAAATTTATACTGTCAGTTTTTTTTTGCGAGTCTAGGATAACTTTGATGTGTAATAAGACATATGTCTCGTATACTAACTTGTAAGAAGAATTATATATTAATTCTCTTAAAGAGTTTGTATATGTCAATAACACTTTAGTCAAAGTCTAGTATAAATTTTTTAGTCATTGATTAATATGTTTTTAGTAAGAGTAATGACAATTTTGTCCATGGCCTCTACTTGACCATTGCCTTTGGCATAAAACATCGTCGAAATCAGTAATTTTACTTTCCTAAGTTTGGCATATTCAACTACTTTTTGTTCTGCACACATTTTCGGTGGTCGAAGTTTGTTGAATTTGCAGATAATGCAATTTTCAATAAGGTCAATCAAATCTTGTTGAGTGGCATCTTTTAAGACATCGACCTTGACCCATTTGGTGAACTATTCAACACTAGTCAAGATGTATTTATGTCTGTTGGAATAAGGCAGATGGATCTAGAATTTGATGTCCAAAATCAATCCCTTGAAAGATCATAGTTTCATTGTGGAATGCAGTTCGTTGGCATGAAAATTTTGAACATGTCTTTGTTTTTTACACTCTTTGTAGCATTTGGAGAAAATGGATGTAATTACTCACCATCAATGGCCAATAATACCTTTGAATTTGTGAGACTCACTTCATTTTATATCCTTATTGATAAGCCTCACACATTCCTTTATGAATTTCTGACAATATTGTGAGTGAATCATCTTGACTTAAACGCAAGTCTAAGTTATTGTTGAGATTCTTCTGATATAATGTTACTCCTGATACCATATAGTTAGAAGCTTAATATGTCGAACATGTGACTCCAAAGACAAAAGGGGGTGAATTATGTGGGTTTGAAAAACTATTTTCAAATAAAAAATCATTAACAAAATCAGAGTTTAAAACATGTTTGTAAAACAAACAAGAAATAAATAGCGAAAAATAGAAAATCAGATAGATGAAAATGCAACAAAAATTAATAATTGAAATGTAAAGAGATAAGGGAATAGAGAATAGCACCATAAATTTATAGAGGTTCAGTCTAATAATATAACCTAATCCTCTCCCCGAGAATTTCTTATTGAGAGTTTTCCACTATGATGTGAGCTTTTGACAAGATTTGCCCACAGACCTCCTTACAGAATGATTGGAGTTTTAAAATAGCTAACTCCCCAATTAAACAAGGAGTTTTTTATTACAGAGACATGCACAACCAACAAAAGATTTTACCACCAAAACAATCTCGAACCAATAAGAGCTTTTACCGCCAGGTTGAACTCACGAACCAAGAGAGATTTTACCACTAGCTAAATTCATGAACCAGACATGAGTTTTAATCATGAAGACCTCCTAACCAAACAGAGGTTTTACAAGGCTCGCCTCAATAAATAGACAAGAGTTTTTCAATTGGCTTAACTCACAACCAAAATAAAACTTCTCACAAAGAGATATTACAAGAATGCTCTTACTCTAGACCTAGACACCTCAGATATATTAGATTTCACTCTCAAAGCACACAGGAAAAAGTGAATAGAGAGAGAGAGAGAGAGAGAGAGAGAGAGAGAGAGAGAGATGTGGAACTATGTGCCTGCATGGTTAATAATGATGTGATCAAAGCTTAGAAAGATACGCATAGACTTGTCAACATCATAGTTTTAATGATGACAACTCATGAAGATGTAGCATAACCTTGATGACAACTCATGACTTTGAGAACAACAACATATAGAGACAAGCAAGTGATAAAACCTTTTTAAGCGGTCAAATATGCATAAGATAATTGATCAAGCCCTTCCTCTGAATAAAGCCAAAGAGTTAGGGTTTAATGACCACTGTGGTTTCCTTTGATGATGGTGTTTGACTTGAATATATCTCAAGTCTCATCTCATATAAGATTTAAGTGAAGTGCTTATGTGATTGAGTTTTCCAACAAGAGACTTTAAGCTTCAGATTATAGAAGTGTGAAAATTCGACGGTTCGTGTCTGAGTGTTTACTGTTTTGTAAATACACAAGGGAACTTTCGTAAAGTAATATGGCTAAATCACACACTCACTAAAACTATTTTTGAAGCCTCTATTTTTCAAATAAAATCACCTAAAATTATTTTTGAGCCTAACTAGATGATTTGGAAACTGTCAAAATGATTAGGGCATGTTTTTGAACTGCCTAATTGATCAGGCTATATATCTAATCGATTAGATAAGGGAAAAATGAGTCTATAATCAACCATGAAAGTGTCTTAATGATGGGTAGCAAATATCTATTTTAAATTTCCAAAATGGGCTCAAATAATTAATAATTTGTGTCATCTAATCAATTAGAATAAATGCCCAGTCAATTAATTAATTAATTTTGCCCATGAATCGTTTTCTTTTTTGAACCATCCTTTGGCCAATAAATAGAGACCTTCCCTTTCACTTTTTCACATCCAGAAACATGAGATATCTCACATTCCTATTTCTTTCTCTCTAAATAGTATCTCTTTCTTTCACATAAATTTAGCCATGGAGCTTTGAGAAAGGTTTTTATGTTTAAGTGAGGAATTGTTTTGGAAATGGTGATATTGTAAATTCACCTAGAGTTCTTTTTCCTCTTGTGTGAATATTTCTTCCTTAAAAAGTGTTTGTTTGGGTTTGGAGCCAAATCCATTAAAAGCTCTTTTGGGGGATTTATTATTAAGTCTTTATTTGGTTCGTGAGTTCAACCACTTAAGGAAAAGCTCTCTTTCTAGTTTATTGAAGGCAACCAATGAAAAATCTTCTTATTGGTTCTTAAGCTCTGCCCAATGTAAAAGCTCAGTTGGTTCGAGATCATCCTGGTGCAAAATCTCGGTTAAGTTCGTGGTTAGCCCAACATAAAATCTCAATTTAGTTTGAAGGATATCCAGTTCAAAACTCCACCTTGGTTTGAGATAAGTCTGTACAAAATCTCGGTTTAGCTTAGAGGCTAACTGCTTGAAGTTGGTTCGTTGTTTGACGTGAACACTAACCACTTCATTCCATTGTTCGCTGCTTGGTTGGAAGTAAACCTAAAAATTCATTTTTTTTCTTGTATAAGGAGGTTTGTGAGCTTAACCTTCAAACAACTCATAAGCATTATTGAAAACTCTCGAGATTAATTCTTGGGGAGAATAGTAGGTCACGTCTTTTAGACTGAACCTCTATTAATCTCTAGTTTCATCTATCTTCCCTTAACTCTTTATTTTATGCTTATTTCCTTTACATTGATTTTCCGCTGTAATATTCAAACATTTCTTAGAAAATATTTTCAAACTCTAATTTAGAAAATAATTTTGTTTTTAAATTATCATTTTTCAAGCCCCTACAATTCACCTTTTTCTAGTGTATTGAGTCACATGTTCAACAAGTGAGAGAAAGGGTTTTAAAATACGTTTTCTGGTGTGAATGAAATGAGAAATGAGTCATCTATTTATAAGACAAAAGGTAGCTCAAATATGGAATAATTTGTGGACTTTTTAAGGCTCTTAATTGATTAAGCCAATCTTATAATTGATTATGAAGTACAAATATGGAAGGTTTTCAAAACCCCAGTTAATAGTCGACTATAAGCCCTAATAATTGACTATGAGACGTTACAGAAGAAATAATTGATTATGTGAAAAGTGCTAGTCGATTATTTGGTGTAAACTACACTCATAAAGGATTATTTGAGCTAGTAACCAACTAGTTAGACACAAAAATGTTTTATGATGATTTTAACAAAATAAGATAGGCTTTCTGATCATTCTAAAGTGTGTATGTAATTTTTCTTAGTAGCTTCAAGTGCTAATAGTATACTTTTAAAGACACATATCACTTGAACTAGACATGGTGAGCTTTCACACTTATTTTGTTTCATAAATTTAAAGCTTTATGTTCATTGTTAAATCATCTTTGACTTTAGAACTTCACTGGAACCTTGAATCTTCTCCCTCACAAGGCTCTCTTCATGATAGGCACCATCATAAAATACATTTCTTAACCCAAGATCTTCATTGACTTTGCCAAACGTTGCTTAACATTAGATGTTATCATGTAGAGATAGAGTTTGATATCTTGATATCCTAGCAACACAACTTAATCACCATATCAAATGATGACTTCACCTCAATGTTTTTATCAACACTATATTGACTCGATTGACACATCTGATGAAGACATTTCTTAAGAGCGTTGTCAACATCAAAACCAAATAGATTGCTTCATACCTCATACATGCAAGCACATAGACCCATATTCTCCCTTTTGTATGATAACACATCTCTCAGGGAGGTGGACAAATAAAGAAATCAAAGGTGATATATTGGAAAGGTTAAGCTCCTCTTGATAAATATAGTGAGTGTACCTTACTCCCCCTGAGAGTATACGTATTCTCCTTTGGCATTATCAAAAAGGCGGGAAAAATAATAAACATGTATGACATGTATTCAAGAACATATATCACCAAAGCTCATATAGGCGTTAAAAAAACTTCATTAATTCAAAGAAGAATTCAAGTACAATAGGAAACACAAGT